CACTCGATTGTCACCTCTTGTGAGAATTTCGGCCTCATCAAATTTGAATGTGGGGCCGGATCTCGTCGAATGAGCCGCAACCTGAGATTTGACATCATTTCGCGATCGAGACAGTTGTTATTACAAATGAATTACTAAGTAATTCCAACCAATTGCATTTTTTGTATGCAATACGCTGTCGCTGTCAGACTTTTAATTTTCAGAGTCAAGAATACGGGACTGTAGGTTAATATATGAGACAATATAATTCATCTTCTGCTCACCGGAATAAATTTGAAGATTTGCTGACGTTTCGGACAGCTGGGCCGGCTGTCCTTTGTCGAAGCGAATACTGACTTTTATCGATCAGCAAGTTTAAAGTTGCGGCTACACTTGTTGGCCTTGGGCTGATCGATTTTCTCCGTTCGCTCTCTGGTCTTGCGTGGGGATTTTGGCTTGGCATGACGGCAATTGGTGGTCTGCTCTGTCCCCACGGTGGAGGATGCTGGTACTCCTGCTCCCTTTTCCGGTGGTTTAGTCACAGGGCCATCTTCGTCTGCAAATCCTGGCTTCGATTTGACCATGCCCTGTCCTTTACTTACGTACTGGCGCAGGACTTTGTAGGCCGCATGGAGGTCCAGATGCCTGTTGACATAATTGGCGTCTGAGTACCATGTCTCAAGCGTCAATCTTTCAGACGTGTTCGAGTGGCCCTTGAGGCAGTGGGTATTGAACAAGGAAGTCGGCCAGCAATTTTGGCTGTCCATCACGCAACTCTCCGCCAGACGCTGGACGAAGCGAATGTGTCGATGGCGAGGTGAACGATGAAATTAAAAAAAAGTTAATCATGTGCACTTGCAGGTTGGCGAATTTTTTCGTGTATGACAGTAGTTTCTCGTGATGTTTGTGGCCTGTGATGAGGTGTAGTTGGTGCTTTACCCGGAAGACGTGATAGCGTGAGCTCGACAAAGTGTGCTGGTGAGTTGGCACTTTGGTGTGAGGAAAGAACATTTCGGACACAAGGCTTCCCAATGAGGGATGAGTCGGGCGAATGCGTCAAGGAACTAGTCTCCCTGTCGTCTAGACACAAAATCGGGATAAATGCAGTATCAAAAGTTTGCAATTTCATCGATGCATGTGTGTTATCATGTTTCGTACATGAAAATAACTCACTGGTGGTGGTTTGTGGGTAAAAGGTTGAGGAAGTTCTCTTACAAAGGAAACATGTCACCCGATAGCAGCACAGTTTAATGAATGCTCCAACTCACTTGATTGAGTTTCGACCTGGATTTTTTACAGCGGAGTGTTGTTGAAAACAGCAAATTCCATTTGCGAAATGGTATTGATAACCGCGTTCCTCTAGCCGTCGACACGAGGAGTGACGCAGAAACTTGAGTTGGCATTTCGTGAAGAGGTTGCGCAGCCATTTCTGATAGTTGCGTGTTTCGATAATGCCGGGGTCACCAATTTTAGTTTCTAAGCAGCGTTTGTACTCGCAGCACTAAGGTCGAATTCAGATTGTTTGAAAAAAAACAAAAGGAAACGGAATGAGGAATTTATTGTGCCCAAAAACCCGAGTTGCCATCTCAGGCAGCAGTGGTCCGGGCTAATGTTAACTGTGTCCAGTCATGCCCGGGAGAGGCAGTGAGACTGTGTTGACGGCTGCTTTTATAAGATTGTGCAGTAACTTCGTGTGGGTTCTAATTGGTGTTGCATTACTCCGGGGTTGTCGTGCATAATGACCCTTGCTGCGTCGGACGGGGCATGACGTGTCCAAGTGGCCCTTGGGCAGCCGCGACTATTTGGACACGCGTGTGGACGCAAATTTGAATCGGCAATGGGGTTTTTAGATCAAAGAGTCGGAAAGCGCCCCCCTGCGAAGTTGCATGACCTTAAGACAGTGGGTAGTTGACCAGGAAATTTGCCAGCAACGTTGGCTGGCTGCCTGCCACAATGCTCATCGCACATGCACGTCTTTGGAGGTTTTATATGCGGTTTGGTAACAGTATGCACATACCCAAAACGTACTTTTGGTTAGCTACAGACTGGGGCGATATACGACGTACCAAGGCGACACGGATCACCTGCACGCTCGCTCTGCGTGTCTAGACTGTCTGACCGGCCTCCGTGTCACGGATTTGCATGACAGTATCTTAGAGAACAAATAACGCACGCAAAATGCCGCCGTTCTCCTTACTACCGCCTTTAGGTAGTCTTACATTTATGTAAGACATTTCAAGCCGTAACTTCTTTTATTCATAAAAGGTCCCACGCATACACACTTGAGATTACATTTTTGGTTTTACAAGTTGGAATGTGCAATTTGGTGATCGCGCTTCGCAGTTGACAGATGGGGTTACGTGAATTTGGCAACAGAGGGCCAGGCGTAAATGCCGAAAGTCAGCAATTTCGGGCCCACTAAGGTAGAACATTCTCGGACGATTTGGAATCATCAATTCCCACACACAGTGATTCCGGCTGCCACCCCACTAAACGAAAGTTGTCGCACAAAGTGAAATGAAGGGTGTCTGAGCAGCGTTCTTCAAGGGAGTCACTGTTTACACTCCCGATAACTGTTATCAAAACAAATACTTCCTGTCATGACATCGCTAATCTTTATTTACTCAAGATGCAAGACCCAGGCGATATATGAGTCCACATCCCCATTCCTCTACCCCCCTCAGAAGAGTTTCAACCCATCGCACGAGAACTGGCTTGCTTCGAAGTTGACACCGTTGCAGCCAGCAAAATCCAATCCACAGAATAAGGAGAGCTGAAAGATATCGACGCAGATTAAAACTCCGTTTAAGGTGCCCGAGAGAATAAAATCGCCGCAATTCCGTAATCGTCCATACCCCACCATAATGGAAGGAATGGCCACAATTATCATACACCAAAGATGAAAGGACATTTACGTACGATAGTAGCATCCATGTAAAAGACAGGCAAAATAATTGCTCTCGGTGGCATAAAGCTGATGCGATCACAAGAAAAGGGAGGTAACTAGTCTGCTGTTTCGGAGGTTCACTCACACCCATCATCAGAGACCGCCACAGAAAAATGTAATGGAGTCAGAAGGAGCACACACTTTCTAGGAGGCAATTGCTTGGCGACCACATGCCTACAATAATAAACAGCAATGACGTTCATCGTTCGGGGTCGCAGTTGATACGATGACTGTAAGTCGATCTGTACCCGTGTTATCAATGGAAATGATCCCATCACTGCTGTTGATTCTTGGCGTGGTGATTATTCGAGTAATTGGTGTGCTCTCACTGGAACTACTGCTAACCCAATCCCAAACAAAAGTGCGGTACAGTATATGGAAGCGGAAGGTCATTGTATTTCTTAATTGGCTACGGGCCGGAAGACCATAAGTCAAGCAGATCGAGGCTCACAAAGTTGTCGCCTCTTGCAAGCATTTCGACATCGTTAACATTGATAGTTTGGCCGAGGCCCGTCGAATGAGCCGCAACCTCAGTGCTAGCGTCATTACTATGGCTGTTTGCTTCGCCATTAGTGTACGGAGTAATCCCCCAGTTTCTCCAACATAGTTGCTGGATTCTCAATTGCACTAGATCCAGTGAATGACTCCATGCGTTCTCTGTACCCTTGTTGCCTCAGGGTAAGTAAAAGGGCAATAGAGTTCTGCCTGTCATCAAAAGAACTTTCATAGATATGGGTAAGGATCTAGCTGGAGAAGTATACGCAACTTTCGTACGCTAGCAACTGGAATACAGAACCCAGGCGTGGCGACTCTGGCTAAAGAAATATTATGAGGTGTTGGAAAGAGTTCAAAGAAGGGCAATGAAACTCGTGAAAGGTCCAAGTGCCTTATCCTACTTGACGATTTGAATCTATTTCTTTTGGAATACAAGCAGATCCGAGAAGCTCTCACACAGATTTATCGGACTACGAAAAGCGGGAATACGCCCTAAAATTTGACGAGTTCGGTGGAATCCTACTTAAGGTCCCAAAAATTATTTAAATAATCTAAAGCTTTTGCGACAAGCTAAGGCGCTATAACTAAACACAGAAATTTACTTATATTTATTACTTACTTATAGATTATTGGATATAAAAAAATCGGGAATTTAAACTCTTTACTTTACAGTTTATTGAGTTTCTTGATTTTCCGGAAAAACATTTTGATGGTTAGGAGGTCGTCTACTTCAAATTATCTGGGATCCAAATTACCGTTCTGGAGTTAGATTAAAATTCGCAGCGTGATGCGCCGCGCACACCTTTAACTTACATGCGCAACAACTTTACATTAGTTTATTTTATTTGGTTTAAGTTCACTTTTCACTTTAGTTTCAGATAATTATTATGTTTGCTATTTTTATTTTAGTTTTAGATTATTTTTGAAGTAAAGCCAGTTTAGCTTACATTTTAGTTAGTTGATTTTAGTTTTCGCTGGCTATTTTTTTACTATATTTATTTCTTAATATTTGCATAGTTGCACATTTTCATTATGGCACACTTTGTTGTTGAAAAACATTAGGGCATTCAAATAGTATTCCTGATTTTTTTATTATCGTAAATTTTATTTTTTATTGATATTTCCTTTCCTTTTACTGCCCAGATTGTTTATTCTTTATTTCATCCGGTTCTGAATTACAGGTGGATGGGGCTTTCGTATGCTGATCTGGGACCTTAATTAGGATTCTACCACGATTTCTTCTCATTGGTTGCAACAAATAACCTGGTTGGGTATTCTCTCAAACACCGAGGAATCTTATCTTATTTGGACGTTCGCTGTCAAACTTCTTCACAGTGAGCTGTGGCGCCCAGGAGTGGACTACCCGGAGGTGTTATAAAGGCGGACACGAAAGACGCATTCAAATATAGACTTGACATATATTTACTTGAAATATACCGTTTATCTAGGCAAGAAACCTCTGAAGAAGAAGATGCGATCACTAGAACGAGAGTTTTGTTTGACTGATGTTTCGGATTCCGTCGGGAATCCTTAATCATAGGTGACTGTAACATAGTCATGGTCATGCGCAAGAAACCTCTGTTGGAACGGTACAACGCTGTACTTATAGCTACAGATATCGCCGACATCTATTATTTGAAGAATGTAATCTGTGATCTTTCACGATGACTGTGCTTAAATCCCAATCACAAAAATAATTCTTCAATGTCTGACTTGAACATTTTTGTGTACAGTCTTCAGTAGGGTCTTTAAAGGCAATTCCAATTACCCTTTAATATAATGGATTAAGCTCTACTGTGACGGCCTCTGATGAGGGGATCGAGTTCGAAGCCTAAACGTTAGGCCAGTAAACTTACTGTTCCAGTGATCACATTTTTTCTGAACTCCTTCCTAGAACTTGATTCTTAGCTCATCTCAAAAGACCATGTCCTCTGGGAGGAGATCAGCTTCATGGTGGTGTTCAACATTCAGACAAAAGTAGATCTATCGCGGGAGATTAAGTTAAAAAGAAAACCCTAGCAGCTGCGATCTTCAGGTCCGGTTTCTTTGAAGAAGAGAAGACATGGGAGGCCAGACTGTTATAAACAGTTTATTCTGTACAGAAGGAATTGGAGACTAGGCAGGAGGAATGTGACTGTCAGAAGAGTGCCCAACCGCAGGCCAGCGGGCCGTACCTGAAGTGAAGTGAGCGCGCGGAATTCCAGGGAGCTCGGGATATGCAACCAATTAGGAAATGGATCACACTGATTGGCGGACACCGTGGGCGGCATTTATGGCGGATCGAAAAAGCACATCCAGGGCAGATTGCAAGCACGCACGACTGCA